ACCTCTATGCAGAGAAATTTGAAAGACAGCTACCAAGCCAACCAATTGGAAGAGATCCATGACTGAATCCATTACAAAGAAAGGTGACCCAATGGAATGTGGAAACCATCAAACAGTATCATTAATCTCATACACAAATACACTTTTGCTCAAGATAATTTAAAAATAGTTTCATCCACAAATTCAAACAAAAATTCAACCCAGATTCAGAAGAGTACAGGGAACCATGAATATTGTTGCTAATGTCGGATGCATCTTGGCTGAAAGCAGGATCTTTATTGATTTATCGAATGTGCAAAGACTCTTGACTGTGTAGATCATGACAAATTCAATGCAATGAATGAGTACTCCAGAACACTTTATTGTGCTCATAGTGAACCTGTACACAGACCAAGAGGCAACTGTTGGAACCAAACAATGGATTAATGAATCATTTAAAATCAGGAAAGGTTTTTGCCAAGACTGTATCCTTTTATAATACTTATTCAATCTGTATGCTGAGCAAATAATATTAGAAACTGGATTATATGAAGAATGTGGCTTCAGGATCAGAGGAAGACTCATTAACAACCTACGATATGCAGGGACTCAAAAAGTTCATTGAAATTCCCTTATACAAGAAGGAGCCCTGGTTTGGTGCTGTAGAATAAAGCACTGGAATGAAAAGTTTGTTTGGACTGCCAGATGAGTGGTTCAAACTCACCAGCTGCTCCTTGAAAACCCAATACAGGTTCGCTATGAGTTGGAACTGACTCGACAGCACTTAAATATAACAATCATTTTACCAAATTTGAAGTCCTTCTTCAGTGACTGGGTCCTCCTAATGACCAGCCTAATCTACTAGAGACACAATTTTGCCATACTGGATATTAAGGAAAGAATTGTTTATTCTTCTGGCACGTTCTTCTCCAACACTTGACAGCACTTAACAAAAACGTATAAGGAATAAAGTAGAATAAAGGAACACTGATTGATTTTAAATTGGGAAAGGTATGTGCCAGGGTTGTATTCTTTCATCATACTTATTCA